CATTTCTCCTGGCTCTCTTTGCATTAGTCGTACTTCTCCCTTCTTCATTCTGGGGGTGGTCGTGCCCTCTCTTTTCTGGTCGGTGGAACGGCTTCTTTTTCTTGTTACTTTCAGTTTTCCAATGGGGAAACTTTCTTTTCAATTGCTCCTGCCTTCTAATGGCTTGCCCTTGTGATTGTCGTTGTTCCACCTCTAGAGCTTGTGCCTGCTGTGCCGGATCCAGCAAAAGATCTTTAAATATTGGCATTTTATTACGATTATAGAATGGTTTTATCTGGTCAACGTTTGCGGTGCATGTTTCACCATTCCTGGCTTTTAACACCACTACAGCCTGAGTTAACTTTTTCTATGACAATATGGTCCTTCAAATCGTGGATAAAATTTGGCAGTTTTATCTTCTGGTGCTGAAGAAATGTGAATGCTTAATTTTTAACAACTTCATCTCCATACTTTATAATTTACTCCCCGTCGTAATCACATTCATGTCGTAATACAGCTTTCTGTTTTCTTCTGTGCTACTTCTGTGTTCTTTTTTGCTTCTTTAATTAATTTTTCTATATAGCCCATTTTGAAATTCTGGGGCTCTTTGTTGAACATAAAATAATTTATCTAACGGCGTTATAATCTTTCTGCCTAAAAATAACTCAGCAGGAGTTTGCCCGTTCGTATCATGTTTTGCGGTCCTAAGGGCGAAAGCTAATTCATTGACATAGTTATCCCAGCTTTTATGAAAATTTTTAACATAACTACGGATAATTTTCACTATATTTCTATTGACCCGTTCCGCTATATTTGATTGCGACCGATACGGGACCATTTTTAAATGACGTATGCCCAGTTTTTGGCACATGTCTTCAAATATATTACTTACAAATTGAGGACTATTATCTGATATAACTTTTAGGGGCGCCCGTATTTTAAAATATATTTATTTAAAATAGAATCAGTAACTAATTTCGCGGAGGCTCGTTTTAAGGGAACAATTTCGGTCCACTTACTAAAATGATCAACCATAACAAAGGAGATACCGACTTTTATTTAACTGACTTTTTGGGAAAGGGCCCAATAAATCGATGCCAATTATTTCATTTGGAAATTCGGATTTAATGCTATTTAGAAACCCGGCGGGCGAAAATTAATATAATTAACTGCTTGACATGTTGGGACAGGACTGGACATACGCCCTTGTTAACTTTTGCAGCTCAGGAAAATAAACTGCTCGCGTACGCGTTGGATGGTTTTTCGAATACCAGCATGAGAGCTAAATGGGGAGTCGTGTAACTCCTGCAGTATATTTAATCTAAGACTAGCTGATATAACAGGTCGAAATTCGTTGTTGGATTTCGTAGTTTTTGTATAAAATAATAGACCATCTATTAGTTCGTAATGGGCCGCCCTATTTCTTATCGCCACAATATCTTGGTGGCTAAAATTTTCAGGATCCTTTTAAATAACTCATAATATTTTTTAAATTCAGGATCCTTACCCAGTTCGGTTATTACAGTTTCTCGGGAATGTATCGTACATGCTGTGAGCATTGCCACCTTTACAGTATTACCTTCTTCATCTGTTTTTATTCTGGATAGGGCATCTGCTACGATATTTTCCTTTCCGGGGGTGTGCTTGATTACCAAGATTATACTCCTGTAAGCTTGAGTGCCCTTCTTATTAACCTTGGGGATAAATTTTTTCCCTGAGTATAATCTAGTTACCGCCGCATGATCAGAATACACTGTTACTGGCGCCTTCCAAAATAGACTCGGAACTTTTGCACTGCTAACAGAACTAACTGCAAGTGCCTCTCTCTCAGTCGCGGAATAATTTCTTTGTGTTTGATTTAAAGTTCTACTAAAAAATGCCACGGGCTGCTGATTTTGCGAAAGTACCGCTCCTACCGCATATAATCCGAAGCATCCGCTGAAATTTCTAAATTCTCATCGTTTCAGGAAATTTCAAAACAGGGGCTTGCGTTAATGCTTGCTTTAATTTTTCGAAAGCACTATTGGCTTCGGCCGTCCACGAGAATCTTGCCTTTTTCCTTTTTAATTTTAACAATGGTTCAGCAATAGCTGCAAAATCTTTTATAAAGGACCTATAATATGAACAAAGTCCTAGAAAAGAAGAGAGCTTCTTAGCTGTATTTGGTGGCGGATACTTTTGTACAGCGATTATTTTTGATTCGTCTGTCTCGATTCCTTTCTGAGATATTTTGTAACCTAAATATTTTAATTCAGGGACTGCAAATTTGCACTTTTCGACATTAACTTTTAGACCGGCCTCATTTAATAATGAAAACACCTGTCTTAAATCCTGTACATGTTGGTCCAGATTATCACTAGTAATAATGATATCGTCTAAATAGATAAATGTGGTCTTTCCAAGAACAGGCCTTAGCACAATGTCCATACATCGCTGAAAGGTTGCCGGTGCCCCTGAAAGGCCAAACGGCATACGCAAGAACGCATAAGTGCCAGACTTGGTTATAAAAGCAGTCTTAGGCACATCTTCCGGTTTAACCCCTATTTGAAAATAACCAGTCGTTAAGTCTAACGTAGTCATATATTTTGTAGAAGTTATGTTTCTTAAAATTTCTTCAATAATAGGTAACCGATATACCGATATACCGGATTTAGCCATGGAGTTTAATTTACGATAGTCAATTGCGAAACGCCACCGTTTCGGATGTGTTTACCTGGATAATCGTCATTATTTTTTCTTACATAACACAACCGGGCTAGCATAACTATTGAGATGGGCGTTATGGATCTTTTTACGTAACATATCTCGTATGTGCCACTCTATAATTTTTTCCCTTTATTTCTTATCATATCGATATGGTTTGTGGCGAACTGGCAGTGAATCTCCGGTGTCGATACTATGGTTAGTCGCTTGAGTAAATCCGGGAATATCACTAAATAACGAAGCAAATTCACTTACCACTTGGTCGAATTTTTTGTTGCTCTTCCTTAGGCAGGTGGTTCAAGGTTTAACGTCGGTGGATCTGTTTTTTCTTCTCAAACTGGATTCATCGTCAGCTTAAGGGACGCTTCGTTAAAATCCAGCGTTGGTTCTGTCTCTGAAAGAAAATTTATCCCTAAAATGACATGTGCTTGTAAATTTTTTATGATAAAAAACATTATCTTTACTTGTTCGTCCTTGATACGAATATACAAGGGTAATTTACCTATGCACTTGCATCTTTCTCCCTGCGCAGCTAACACTGTCGTATTATCCGAATTATATATGCGGTATTTACGGAAATACTTCCTAAAAAAATCTTCTGCCACACAGGAACACTGCGCGCCTGTATCCAGGAGTGCGGTGGCTGGGATGTTATTCACCAAAACTTCAATCTTTGGAAGAGTCAAATTTTTCAACATAACTGTATTTAACTTGAAGGAAGAGGGGATTTTCTTGGCCTTCGGATTTCCGAACCCTCCCGTCAGCAGAAATCCGTTTTTAGTTTAAATTTTGTTTCTTCCTTTCCATGCCTTCCTTCTTTTTTCCGCTGGCCTTCAGACTTTTTTTATGGCTTACTATTGAACTGTCGACGTTCGCCGGTTGTTTTTGGATACTCGGGTTTCCTTGCCCACTGATTTGCTTTGCTTCCGTAGCCGTGTTCTTGACTTTGCTGTGGTCTTGGCGCACCAAATTGGCTTTCGTTGCTCATACTGGCGTCTTCTTTCAATGTCCGCCGTTCTTCTACTTTCAAACTGGATTGCTAGCTCAAATAACTTTTCCAGTGTAGTCGGATTCCTTAATTCAATAAAGTCTTGTACTTGGGGAAGTAACCTCGGCAAAATCACTTGAATTATCTCAGGATCCGGACGGTTTCCATACAAGAGTTTAAAGACGTGAATTTTTCTTAAAATAAAGGTGGAAAGATTTTCGATTCGTTGCTGATATATGCTGAAGAGTTCCGTTTCTAATCTTGCACGATCTCTTACAACAGGGAAGGCTTTTACTAAGGCAGCCTTAAAATTTTCGTAAGTATAGGTGGGACTTCCCGCTTGACCCAAGAGGCTTCTGCCTATACATTTGAACCAATTAAGCGCTTGGCCCCTCAAAGCGCTGGTAGTTAAGGTGACTTTCTGGAACTCATGTACTGGATACAGCATGAAGTGGTCATCCAATTTTTCCAAAAAACTGGTTACCGGTGAGTTTCCATTAAATGTTGCTTCTGGTTTCATCGATGCGCGCATGGTCTGTAACCAAATCCTTCCAGGGCGGCAGCTGGCATTTCTGGATTCTGAGCCGCTTCTGCAGGCAGCACAGGTTCTTCTTGAAACTCGGCCATGGTTATTTTTCTTCGTTGGGCGCCACTATCAGGTTCTGTGTTCCTCTTTACTTGCTTTGGAAACATTAACTGTCCTGACTCGGAACAGGGAGCTTACTAAAGCTATGTTCAATAAATTGTGAAGTAGACAATACACACAGGAAGGGTATACGAAACCCTTTATTTTTCTATCTTTACAGAGATTTCCGGACTTCGGAATACAGAGACCAACCACTTGTGGTCTGAACGTATGAATATAAAAAAATATTAACTAAAACTCTAACTAAACTAACTTTGGATTAATAACAAGTGCCTAACTCCAAGATTGGCCGTAAATTAACAAAAGCCGTATGTAGTACAGAGAACTGCTAACACTACGATACGTTTAAAATTATCACGAGGATTAAACCTCTGGCCATGAAGGCAACCAGCAACCGAGTAAAACTACTATGGCAAGCGGCCTGCTTCTAATAACTCCTTCCTCTCTCTTGCTTGGCAAAAAGCCACAACTTAAGTACTTGGCGTTAGCAAGACAAATTTGCATAAATAAGTAAAAGCTTTTAATTCTGGCTGGAAGTAGAAAATAAGAAGTGATAGTAAAGATTTAAAGTAAAATAAACGTTAGTAAAACTTAGGATCCTTACAAACCTTTTCCAGGCTCATAGGCTTTTAAAGATATCCAGTACTTCCTCTTCAGGTCTAAATCATTCAATGTTTAGATCTGCGAGTCTTGAGCGTGCCAACTGCTGTGATGTCGCCGACGTTAGCTTCTATCTCAAGTTTAAACTCGTCACTCAGGCGAATAACTGGACCTAGTGACTGCTCGTATCTAAAAAAAAGGATAAAAATCTGAAAGGATTCAGATTTTAAATTACATCCAAAGGGGCTTTTTCTTTTAACATTTTGTGTGTTACCTTTATTTATTAAATATTCACGTTTTTCGCACTTAAACCATAAAGTTTAGTTCAAGAGCAATATCGCAAAATAGTTTTAAATTGAGCATATCTTAAGAATTTCCGATACGCAGTCTCACGCGCTGGAGATAAAAATGCTTTTTCTGTACAACGTTGCCAAATCCTTGAGTTTGTTAATCAAAAATTCGTTAAAGATCTACAAAATATGAAATCGATAATAAAACAAATTCCAAATTTCAAATTTGCGCTTCCACATGCCCATATTCGCAGGAGGATTACGTCATTCAAAATTCGATGGCTCTATGTACCGTTGTTTTATCAAAATGCGATAAATATACATATATTTATGCAGATCAAAAACATTATTTAATTTCTTCAAATATAATGCAGGACTCTAACATTTGGTGTCAACAGTTTGAAACGTAAAACGGACATTTATGGTGAACCAACGCAAAATCGCAAAACGAAAACAATAGTCCTTCAGGGACAAAGCCCCTTTGGACTAAAAAAATTGTATCCTTGTATCTCAAAGTTCTATTGTATATTGTCACAATTTTTTATACTTATGATTGATTAAAATGTTTTTTCTGGGTATGTTAAGAAATTACTAGTAAATTGAATGAGAAGCAGTAAAACCCTATGCATGTCTTATTATTATTATTATTATTATTATTATTATTATTAAAGCCAAATTTAAATGAAATGAAATCTTATGTTCTGTAGAAAAAAGCACACAAATAAGTGAAAACCATTCGCCAGCTAATTTTAATATATGTTTTTATTCAGATCTCTTTATAATTTTGAAAACGAATTCTTATAAACTATGATTTAACGGCTTTGAACATTCTTTTGTGTGTAAACAAATTTTGTAATAATATTAAGTAGCAAAAACATTACAACTAACAACGTATTTCTACACTTCTACATTTGTATTCTTTTTGCTATCTATGTTAACGCAATTTACAGGAAACAAAATAAGATGGCAGTGTGTTATCGAACAATATTTACATTTGAGGAAACTTCAATAAATATTGAAACTCTACATCAGCACGACGTTTTGAAACTGGCCATGAGGACTTGTAATTAAACAACATTGATTTGACAAATTTGTGTAATTACTTATTTTTAGTCTCTGTTTTCATAAATGTCCGTTTATTAAGATGATATTTATATTAATAAAGGAAGTAAGAGAGTAAAACATTTTAAATTATAGGCTACTATATTTATCAAGTAAAAAAAATCATGACTGGATAAAGGCACTTGTGCCAAAGCAAACATTTTTGTTTGTGCACTTAAATTGTATGCATAGAAAAGAAGATGCAAAGCTATGCAATTTGCAGTGTGTGTAAATATTTTGCACTGCAGGGTAACCTTCAGCTATTAATAAGGAAAGAGTGAAATGTTCTGTATTGTTTTCGATCTCATTAAGACACTATATCTGATAAGATTATCCTAATTTAAGTGCATATTCCTTAGTATACACTTCCTTCTATTCTTTCTAATCACTTGAAATGTTTGTGTTTATGAATTCCTGTTTCGAAAAATTTGTACTTCTAACATTATTTCTTAATACACATTTCAAGAACTACTGAACTGCAGTATAGTATTTCATCTTGATAGCTGATTGCATTGAAGGAGGATGTCTTTTTTCAAAACACATGCGCATGCTAAGTTTTGGGATTTAAAAGTAATTCTAAAGAAATATACCTCAAAATAAATGATGTTATCGAATCAATGTTGTTGACCTTTTTCTACTTATCTAGCGCGGGAAGGCCTTTAGTCAAATCAGTAATTTACTATGCATAACAAGAAACAAACTGAATATTTTTCAACGAGGTGATCTATGAATTAAATTAGGTAATTAAAAAATATTAACAGTGTTGCATAATACATTAATATTCTATAAAACATTAAGCGCAGCCATCACCTTAATTAAAACCAAAATTTTGTACAATACATCATGTAACTTTTTCCCTTCAAAACTTGTTTATATTTAAAAAGTTAAAATAATAATAATAATGCGAAATAAAATGATTTTATACCTTAAAAAAAAACTAAAAGAAAAATCTGAAAGGTTTCATATGTTAAATTATGTTCAAAGGGGCCTTTTTTTAACATTTTGTGTGTTATATTTATTTATTAAATATCATGTTCTTCGCATGTACACCATAAAATTCAGTTCAAGAGCAATAACGCAAAATAATTTTAAAATGAATTTCTGATTCAGTCTTGCGTACGAGAGATAAAAATGTTTTTTTTTTTGTACAACTTTGCCATTGCTCGCTTTGAAATTCTTGAGTTTGTTAATAAAAAATTCGTTAGATTTTTACATAATATGAAATCGATAATAAAACAAATTTCAAATTTGGGCTTCCAGATGCCCGTATTCGCAGGAGGATGACGTTATTCAAAATTGGATGGCTCTAGGTACAGTTGTTTTTATCACAATGCTAGAAACATACATACATTTATGCAGATTATTTAATTTCTCTAAATATAATACAGGGCTCTAATATTTAGTGGCAACAGTTTGAAAAGTACTTCACAACGCTTGTAGTGAATCAACGCAAAATGCCAAAACGAAATTAATAGTCCTTCTGGACAAATTGCCCATTTGGATTAATAATAAAACATTAATCTAATTAAACCTTCAAGACATTCGCCAATATTCTTAGTCTAATTGTTACCTTTAATTTAAATTTTAACCTCAAGTTGCGTTAGCCCAGAAAGTCTATTATTCTCGAAATGGCGTTTTGCGTCGGTTCACTATAAATGCCGTATCCCTTTTCAAAATGTTGTTACCAAATATTATTTCCAGTATTATATTTAAAGAAATAATGAAAAATCTGCATGAATGTACGAATGTTTGTCGCAGTGTGAAAAATTGACTGTACCTACAGCCATCAAGTTTTGAATATCGCAATCTTCGACCCGAACATCGCCACCTGGAAGCCTGACTTTTGAATTTCCAATTTGTTTTATTATCTATTTTACATTTTGTAAAACTTTAACGAAGTTTTGAGTAACAAGCTCAGCGATTTCAAAGCGAGCAACGGCAGCAATGTACAGAAAAAATCATTTTTACCTCCAGTGTGCGACACTGTCTATCGGAAATTCTAAAGGTATTCTGCTTTTAAATTTTTTAAATATAACAAAAACAGAAATATCACAAAACATTTTTTAAAAATGTTTTGATATATTTCTGTTTCGAATTTTGTATGGTTTAAGTGCGAAGAATATGATACTTAATAAATAAAGGTAACACACAAAACGTTAAAAAAAACAGCTCTTTGGGCGTAATTTTCTTTTTATGTAATTACTTGTCTTATGATTATGTTGCATGCTTGTATATGATAGAGAAAAATGTATAGGGGTCGATGATGTAAGCCATTCTTTTAAAAGTGGTCGCTGCAAGAAAAGATTTGGGATTTAATCAATCTACCAAAAACTGACTGCGTCAATTTTATTAAAAATAACTGCGCAATTATGTTGACCCTTGAGTTTTCAACTCATCAAAGCATAACTGTTACTAATTATTATAATTTATTTTATTGATATTTTAAAACATAAATTATAACTTCTTTATTATATAAATCACATCTAAATTGCTATTTTCTAAGTTTTTTCAAAAACTAATATTGCACCACTCTTATAATAAAGCATTTATTTCTTTTGAATTAAAATCTCACATTTTAACATTTTGTAATCGAAAGTGATAAAAAAACAAAAACTTGCCGTTATCTCAGGTAAAATAAGCGAGATAGAGATCATGTTGGGAGGGGGATGCCGAAACAAGCGGGAAAGGTCTTTTCCCATAAGAAAGGCTATAGGAGTTTCAAAAGAATGAGTGACATCTGATTTAACAATTCCTGACCCCTAGTGAGCCATATTTTAACCCTGAAGTAGACGCTCGAGTTGCCAAATCATGTGATGGGTAAAAGCATTACTTTCAAATGTAGATCCTGGCTTTCTGGAATCTGGTGACGCCTGCTTTCAATGCAAGGAGGTTAGAATAGATTCTAACCTCCTTGTTTCAATGGATATCTTCAACGGAACACTAACTGAATTTGCAAACCCAGCTGCAAAATCTTCATTTATTTTACGGTGTATGCCTCAGCTGTTTTGAATTGTTCTTGCTGATGTATCCTTTTCCCTACTTCAAGACATTTTAGAGAAGGCACCAACTTCAGATTAACAGGAAGAATTTTTTGCTTCTAATTATGTATATCTTCTGTCTTTCGGGAAATATCATGTTTTTCAATATTATTCTGTACCCGATTACTTTACTTTTGTGTTGCGGCATATTTTTAAATTAAAAATATAATTCTAACTAGTAAATTTTTCCTAGATTAAGAAACCACTGCTTTATACACTTATTTTGGAAGACGCGAGAAAAAAAATCTATCTTAAATGTCAATAATAGTTTTAAACCTTTTAATTCTAGTTAGGAATCCGAAAAATTTGAGATGTTATTCTTTTATGGAAGTTAGAATACTTCTTCTCAAGTAAAAATCATATAAAATGTGACACCGCTTTGATTTTATAGACTTTGTTTTTATATGTTCGTTTGGATAAAAACTCGGACTTAAATTTTAATTCCCTTCTACTCTCTACTGACCCAATTTTTCCGGAATATTTTATACATTAATATTTAAAATGACAATACACTATTCAACAAGAATATTTTCAAAAATTTTTAATTTATTTATTTAGAGTTGAACGTCGTCGAATAATCTTAATTAACGATCAAATTAATCAGCATAAATTTTCAGTTTTGAATCTAGATAAAAGAAATCTTCCAGATTGAAAATTTTGAAATAATTTATCGAATTTTGAAAGTTTTCAAAAAATTTTTACCTCTTGTAAAGTTACTCATAATAATGTATTTTTCAATTTAATTCTTTCCTGTTGATAGCCTGATGATAATGATATCAGATTTCTATTTCAAACAAAAATTTAAATGTTGAATGCATATATACGCTATGAGCTAGATCAGCAAAACTTAAAGAAAGAGGAAGGGAAAGAAAAAAAAAAAAAAAAAAAGAGGAAAAAGATAACATTTTTATTACGTTGATTTTGAAAGGAACTATTTTCCTGCATTCAGAGGGGGCGGGATGCTCTTTGTTTGCTATTTTTTTTCGTATTCTGTAGTTTAACGGCATAAAATAAAAGAAGTATTTTTTAATATTAATAATTTCAGTGACATGCATTAAGAAGTAAAAAAATATTCTTTAGCTGTGATAATATTCTACATCATATGCAACAAATATTTTTTTTTAGTTCATAACTTTAGGTCTTTTACATATTTTACTAGCGGAAGTAACCGATGCCAGTTACGTTAGATTGAGAGTAATGTAACAGCAACAACAGAGAGAACGATACCGCTGTAATCCTTCTCTAATAACTATGCAATAAATACGACTCATAGTCATACACTCTTCAGTCTGATGCAAAATGGAACCCACATAAAATATTTCGATAGAAAAATAAACTAATTCTCTCTCATTATATCAGCAACAACGGTATGCAGGTTTTAACGATTTTGTCTTTCTAGTCAAATGGTGGTAAAAGCTCAAGTTCCATCCATTATTTCACCTATATTCAGTTTTAGTCGATTAAATGTGACAAAAAAATTGATTATAATTGATCAGATATCAGTAACGCGAACAAACAAATAAACACACAAACAGACATTCTTCTTTACATGTATAGATTTTGTAAAACTTACAAATTTTTGATTAACAAACTCTATGATTTGAAAGCGAGCAGTAGCAATACTTTTCGAAATAAAGCATTTTTATCTCCAACGCGCGAGACTATTGCCACTCGGAAAAATGAGTGCGAAAATTAGCGTTTTCAGAGTTTTTAATTAATATTTCGGCTAAATATGATTAAAGTCGTACGAAGATGGGAATAGTCGAAATGGCTTTCCACGAATTTTTTGGAATCGGGAATAATGTATTTAATGTCTGGCAATGCTATTTTTATCTCAAACGTTGAGCATCTGAAGCCTCCAATAAGTTTAAGATTAAAACTATTTTACGGTGAGAATGCGTGATTTTTCCCTTTGCAATATGATTTCATTGTTAACTGATGAGAAACTCCCTTCATTTTCCCTTTTTTCTATTTTAGGCTAGATATTTTCCGGCTGTGGGCAGTATCATGGGAGGAAAACCTTACCCCATCAAGAATGATACTTTTGCAGCATGTCAATGTACAGATTTGGGCTTCATCTGGGACTTAAATTCAAGACCTTCTCGACTAAGAAGACAGGTGACTTTACTATTGAGCTATCGAAGTCGGTGTTAGCTTTGCATAATTTATACTTTACAAGAACCCGTATTCGTCGCCTCTCTAATTAACTAAGAATTTGACAGAGATCAGTAGCTTTGCCTTTCCAGCACATAATTAATAATCACAACTACACCATTACTCTCACTCCATTCTACGCCGCTTACTCATTTGAAGTTCATTATACTATCTGGCTGTAACGAAAGTTTTCTGTCAAAAAACGTTCTTCATAAAGTTAGAAAAAAACATGAAAGCAGCATCTTTAGTGCGGGTAGTAATCATCATCCAATCTATCATTTTCTGCCAACGTTTTGGTAGTTTTTCAAAGCCTTCGGCTCAGAAACTTGGTGGCCACGAGTCCAAAAACAAATCAACCTCATTTCCGACGTCCTGTACAGAATGGAAGATAGCACGAGCAAGATGTAGTTGCACGCGTGAAAAAAGGTAAGAGTCCAAAGGAGCGATGTTGGAGCTATATGGTTGGGTGTGGCAAAAGATCCCACTCAAGTCCATACAGACTCCAGGCGATGAATGTACACATGTGGTCTTGCATTAGCTTGATGGAACATTACCTTTTCCAAATACTCTTTATGGATAATACCATAGCAATCCTACCAGATATAAAGAATAATTTTTTGATAGTCGAATTGCACTTTGCGACACTGCCGACGGGCTAACCGGGCGCAGACCAAACCCTTTTCGGCCTGTGTCGTTGAAGTAAATCTAGTTTTCATTACAAATGACGATCTGGTCAAGAAGTTTGTCCCTTCTTTGATATTCGAGCAGATTAGTGCAGGACAGAACACGTCTGTCCTTACTTACTTTAGGCATAGCGCGATTATTGCACTACCATTTTACTCATTAGCAAACTCTCGAGTGGTTGTATACTGATCTTTTTCCACAAGTTCTCGCAGGCGGGCCTCATCAGCATCAGTAGGCCGGCCAGAGCACTCTGCTTCTTAAATATCATAGTCTTTGTTTTTTGAAACTTCGGTACCAGATCTTTACAATGTCATATGATACAACATTAGTACCTAAAGCTATACACGTGATTTGGTGACATTCTGCAACTGAAATTTTGCAACAGAACTGGAAGTAAATGATGTTTTTAATCGCGTAGCGTGATAGTTCTATTTCAGACAGCATGTAATTAATGATAACGATATTGTTTTACAAATTTCACAAGAGTGTTCTAAAGCAAGTCTCTTTCCTTAAAATGCCAAAAATCGTGTGACAAAATATGATTAAACACGGCAACGCGAACTGTTTGCGCAAACGATATATGTGGTGGTGGAAAACTTTCGATACTTGCCTCGATTTACAATAATGAAAATGTATTTTAAGAGCACCGAAATGAAAAATGGGTGTTTCCTGCATAGTAAGTTGAAATATTAAAAAGCATGCATCGGAAATATATTTAAATGTATATCTTGATGCAGTTAAAGAATTCAATCTTTTATTTTTACATGCTTGAAGATAAGCAAACAGAAATTATGAAAAATACACTTGACTGTTTTGGAAACTTTAACAAAACATTTGATAAAGCGCTGCTGATTCACGAAAAGCCATATTCTTGCCACTTACAGTAGCGAGAAAGATCCAAGTAAACCATTGACTTAGCCGTCAAAAGGGGCATACTGATGACCGTAGAGCATTTCATAATTTTTCAGTATTCGTATGACATCTATTTAGTATTTATTCGCCAGGACTTAGAAGTAGTATTTAAATCATCTTTGACATTACTTTTCTAAATAAACCTGTATGGCTTTTTGGAAGAAACAAATTTAGCTGCTGTTTAATGTGAGTCACAATTAAGAAACAGCTAAATTTGCTTGATTGCAAAATACATGTCACAGATGAACCTTGATACATAAATCACTCCAAATAAATGAGTTGCAGATTCAAATGCGAAAACATTTCATTCGGAAAGAAACCCTTAGAAAATAAATCCCGCTAATGGATTGCATTCATACTTTTTATTATGTCATTTATAGCCATTACTGGGTAGAAACTATTATATTTTATTGGAATCAGAAAACATCAAAAATCAATTTTGCCCTTGCCGCGATTCGAACCAGAGATCATTCGTTTACCAACCGAACAGGTTAACCACTTACACGACGAGAGCAACCGCGAAGAATGCAATAAATTTTTTAAACTGAACTGAAAAGTCCGTATATGGTTGGTACGTCTTGAGGCATAAAGGACTTCGATAGTAGAGTGTAGGGTTTATATTTATTTTAAGTTTAAACTATCTTTCCTGTCAAGCCTTACTTTCCGATGGAATTGCCAATGCCAGAGTATGTAAATTTTAGTAGAACGCGCAAGGATTCATATTGTCAGCGGAAGTATTCTGAGTTAAATAGAAGGGAAACGAGTTCGAAAGTGTGCTTTCTTGCTTCACGAACGTGGAGGTGGCTAGTTAGAAATTGAAGAACCACGCGTTTCGGCCTGTGTGCTTGCCTCGGCAGATTGTTAAATCTTTCAACGTAATATTCAGAAGTTTGCTGAATTATCAGCGGTGTTTTAGAACGCGGTTAGGTTAGTTAACGATCTTAGAAAGCCTCGTAGTTAGTGACTTGTTATTTATTCATTTTTTTTTTAGTTTCTTATAGTTTTTTATTTCTGTTTCTGTTTTACCGCCGGGTCGGCGTAGTTTGTGAGCGTCAAGATGCACGCATTTGTTATTTTCTAAAGTTGAATAAAAAGGGATTTAAACCCTTCTTCACGTGACTTTGTGTAAACTTTCCAGTTCTTAGCAGTCACACCACTATTGTTGCGTGACAAGGTTGGAAGGCGCGCAACATTACCACATTGGCGCCCGAACATCTTGTCGAACTGAAATGGCCGAAAATTTGATGGAAGCCTGCCTGGACAACTCCAGCAGCAAGAAATGGCGAAGCCAATTGGAAGGGAATTTGGATACCTGGTCCAGACGATGAGAGCGTCAATCAAGCCAAACGTCAATTTCGACGGAAAAAATTCGGTGGCGATATTTCTAGAAGGCCTTGAAAATCACTTCCAGCTCTACCCTGTGCCTGAAAGAGAAAAAGTTGCCATCGCCACATCTGCACTAAGAGGACAAGCCTCGCTATGGTGGAAGAATATAGGCAAATTTTTATTAGGGGAATTCGGAGGCCAGACATATACATTTGAAAATTTCAAAAAATCGTTATTAAAGGCCTTCCCCCAGTGAAAGATCGAGCAAGGCTAGAAGCCGAACCTATATTGTTTTTATCAACGGAATATAGAAGAGTTGACGGACTTTATTCTGCGAAAAATTAAGCTGACGGATATGCTGTATGGGAAGAAAACCCGACGCGGAGATTATTGAAATAATCTTACCAAGATTGTTACCTGCTGTTCAAGACTACTTCCAAAATTAGAAACCCAAGCACCATTGCAGGAGCTCTTCGAATTGGCGGTGAAGTTTCAAAATCGCAGAATAGCGGAAAAAGCTAGAGGGGCATCGTCTTCTCAAAGTATCCGAAGGCAATCTTCAAATGAGCAGACCAGAAATGCAAACCGCTTTTATGGGGGAAAGAGCTATCAAGCTAACTCATCGAAGCTCGAAGGTCAAGGCCCAAAAAGGAAATTTGAAAGCAATCGTCCGCGTACCCAGAAGGCAGAAGTTGAAAGGAAAGCTTTAAACGAGTAGAGGGGCCTGTGAAAGCGAGGGTCCAGACCCCGGAAGTTTTGAAAAAACCCTCAAGAAGACACTTAAATACGATCATCGTAAAGAACTCACAGTTACCAATTATACAAGTCCTGGTTAGCGATGTACCAGTAGAAGCCCTCATCGATACAGGAGCAGAAGGTAATTTTATGAGTGATATTTTTTTAAGAACTTTAATAGGTTACGATTATTTAAAAATAAAAAAACAGAAATCATAGCAGCGCAAGGACAAACTTGTCAATGTATCGGAAACTATCTTTAAAGATACAGGTTCAAAACGAAAGCCTTAAAGTATTAATTTTTGTAGTAAAAAATTTGCAAAGTCCACTTATTTTAGGTATGGAGTTTTAAAGCCGCGAAGGCCAAACTGAATTTTCAGGAAAGTTCTATCGTGCTGGAGATGGATCGGAGGTGGTGGAACCAGTAGAACCAACCGCAAGTCGACCTTTAGCCATTTGAATGACCATGAAAGCAAAAGCCATCCAGCAAGTGGTGAGTACTTTTTCAAACTTGTTTTCAGAACGGCCTGGTAGTTGTCAAATAGTTACGCATGAGATACAGTTAACTGCCGACAAAACCCTGTAGGACTAAACCTTATCGCTATGATAAACAGAAAGAACAAATCATAGAAGAACATATTCAGGAAATGTTAAAGAATCAAATAATAACGCCCATAAATAGTGAGTACGCGAGTCCAGTCGTACTATGTAGGAAAAAGAACGATCTAAAAGAACGACTTCCCTCCTTCGGATAAAAGGGCTTGGAGGTTTGCTATCGATTAACAGAAAACTCAATAGCATTACTAAATTCCCAGTTTCACCCTTTGCCGGTTGATTAGAGGAAATTATTAGAAAGATTAAAGTCTACTAGATATATGACTACGTTGGACTTAACTTCTGGCTACTATCAAATAGCTATGAGACCCAGAAGATATACATAAAACCGCGTTTATCACAAAATCGGGCACTTATGCATTTTTACGCATGCACTTTGGGCTGTGTGGGGTCCCGTCAACATTCCAGAGAGCTATGGACATTGTTCTAAAGCCTGTCCTAGGAAAATCGACTTTAATCTATCTAGATGATATAATTATAACGAGTAGTACGTTGGAACAACACATTAATGATATAGAACAAGTTTTTAAATTATTAAAAGAGGCGGTCTTACAATTAACGCATCAAAATGCAAGTTCGCAACTAAAGAACTTAAATATCTGGGTTATAAAATTTCGCAAAAAGGGTATAGAAACTCAAGATTCAAAAATAAAAGCAATCAAGAATTTCCCACCTCCCAACACCGCCAAGAA